GGGTAGGAAATGCAAAGGTGCAATACGGCAGAACACACAGCCGACTCTAGAGAGCTGGGCTGTGAGGGCAGAGCTGACCCGGAAAGCCCAGGCAGTCACGCTGAGGAAAAGAACGTTCCACTGGCGTCTAGGGAGCTGAGACGCGAAACTGTAAACCAAGAAGAGAGAACATAATGGAAAGGTGTAGATTCTGATCATCTTATAAGAGTCAAATTGTAGGAAAGTTTCAACTCTGATTACAAAGCAGAGGTGTGAATCTAGAACATATCTGTCAAATCCTTAACTCTACATTTCCTTCCTAAAAAGGAAAAAAGCATGAAAAAAGTGAAGAAAGTTTGATATTGAGATTCAAAATGAAAATCCTGGGGCTGCTACGATTGGGATTTTCTATTTATTTTGGTCAGGCACCCAAATGTGGTGTTTGCCCAATATTATAATAAATAGTGAAACAGACTTCCAAAAATAGTCAACATCTATAGTCTAACAAAAGTACACATATTTACATTTGAAAAACCTGTTTTTCTCTGGACATATAGTGAAAAACAGTAAATACCTTCAAGTAATTATATAATAACTATTAACAACTCACAAAACAGAATTACCTTGCCATGACCAAGGGTAGCAGCTTTAAGTCTTTATGTACATAGAAATAAAGCTAAAAGATGTTTTTAAAATATTTAAGAATTTAAATCCAAATGTGACAAATGTAGATCATATGGACTTAGCCATCTCAAAATCTATTTGTAAAAAGATGGGAAAATTAGTAGTTCATGTAATTTTTAAAATATGTATCAAAAGTCTCCCTGATACTGGATTATTGGATCAAGACTCCTAAAACATAGTCAATCTATACCTATTCAAAGTGGTTTCAAGGCATCCTTACATTCTAGATTAGCATAAAATGTTAACACTTATTGAATGTTAGCTGTCAGGTTTGCAAGTACTCATATGATCTCAAAAATGACACTGGTGTGAATTCAATAAATGTGGTATTCCAGTAAACACACAAAATAAATAATTAAATAAATACTGACATATTTCCAGCATTTTAATTCCATATATTCTATGTGCACTTTGTTTGTTTGTGTCAAGTTACTCTGCTCTGTTGTGTTAGGCTTTCCACAGTGTCTCAGTGCCTCTCACTCACTACCACACCTATCTTGGTTTTATTTACACAGTTTAAAAAAACAAATTGTTTCATTTAGGATATATCAAGTAGAACAAACTATAATGCTAGAAATTTAAAGCTGACAAAATCAATCAGAGGATATAATACTATAGATAATATAAATACTGGTGCTGAGAAATAAGACGTATGATCTAGGTGAACTCTAAGAGCCAAACAGAATCTCTCCCTAAATTAGCATCGGGATAAGAAAGGCAGCTACAATGAAAACGGGTTGTAAATCTTGGTCTTGCAAGAGAAAAGAAGCCAGTCCCTCAACAGCAGGAACTGCAAGTCACACATCTGACCAGGCCCTGAGGACACTCAACCTGAGAAAGAGCGAAACACATACCCTATTAGAAGCAAGATCCATTCTCACTCACACAGAAAGATAACTCAAAGTCTAACAGTAAGGCCTTGGCAGGGTAGTGTCACTCTTTAAAAAGTACTGTTCCTTTCTCACACAACGAAAACATCAAAGGAAATATCCACAGGGGTGTTAACAGAATTAGCAAAATACATGACATTTCTATATTTATTGAAGACAGAAGAAAGGGGAAGAATGTGACCTCTTAGTCCATCAAAACTAAGGAATTAAAAATGCTGTATTAAACTGTGATGTAGAAGTTTCTTTAAATTAAATTAGCACCTGAGCCCAATAAAAGTATTATAGTGGATTTGAAGCCAATCAGATGATAACCCTTCTCTGCCCATTCCCTCTCTCTCTCTCTCTCTCTCTATATATATATATATATATACATATGTGTGTTGTCTACTGTCTAGAGTTTACAGCAATAATTGTGGCTGGGAAAATTTATATCACTATATAACAAAAAACATTTAAGTATTTTTTCCTTATATACAAAGAATGAGGTGATTCATGCCATGTCCACAGAGCAGATGCTTTGGTTTCAACTAACCCTGGATTCAAGCTCCAGTTCCACCACTTGCTCACTGTGAGCCTTTTGGCAAGTTGCACAACCTCCTGGGGCCTCATTTTCCTCAACAATAAAATTGAGATATTAAAAAGGTTATGTGAGGTATCACTGTAAAGCCTTTAGCACATTTCCTGGGCCATATGATAAATGTCAAATAAATATGGGGCATTATGGTTATTATAATAATTGACAATTACCAGTGTGAACAACACATTCTACCCAAACAGTTAAATCACATCAAAGGAAGGAGGAAAAAGAACAAAATATAAAGTAAAATTTCCAGCCAAGAACTTATTCAGAGAGCTAACATAAATCATTATTCCACTTTGCTTTGGTAAACAAAAATACAAAAGCCTACAGAGTAAACTAGCAAAAATATAAAATAGTTTGAAAAACTCCTTAATAATTATTCTGGACAAATTGATGTGACTATACTTTGAGGCCTGTGAATTGATTATGAAGACCAATTCTACAATGTGGTAAATGGTGTTTTTCTGATACTGTGATAAGCTGTACTGGTTGTATGTTCTAAAGATACAGTTATATGGAAGACAGCATTAAGAAAAACAACTAAAGATGCATTATTGCAGTGATTACACATGCAGTCATGAGTGTTGTTCATTATAAACGGAATTTAAGAGGGCCTAATGTTTTTTTGTTATTTTCACTTCTCCCACAGGAGTTAACTAATAAGTGTGGAATCTAGCAAATCCATTTAATACAATTTTATCTATGAAGCCTGTAGTTCTATCTTTAGTTTGGACAAATCTTATCTATTTTAGTCAATCACTAGATTGAATCCTTTTTTGGCTTATCCATCATTGTCAAGTTTGGTGTATTCCCCACAAATAGTCTCAATTAGTGTTTAAAAAATATTCATAAATGAATTACACTTAATAATTAGCCTTTATTTCTGCCCCACTGTTGTTATTTTCAAAATAGAATTAAATGTATTGAACAAAACGGATAAGTTCTCCATTTCTGCGATGGCAACTAAGAAATAAATTGTAAATGAAATAATTTATTTTTAGTGAAAATATTAATGTGTCATAAAGAAATGCTAACATAAGTGATCACTGTCATCTGCTAAAACAGAAAAGATGCTTTTATTATTTTTTCCTTTTTTTCACCATGTTTAAGAATGAATAATTGTTGAATGAACAAAATGCTATGCATTTAAGAAGAAAAATGAAGCCTAGAACAATGTGAAAACAGTGGTTCCTTGTTTCCACCCATTAATGCTAATGCCATGTTCTATATTCTAATATTTTTATCCTACTTTCTCGATTTGTCTTTTTAGAAATACTTTATAATTATACTAAGCATATGTGCCCTTCTGCCTTACCCTGACTCCATGCCTTTTATAAAATCGCTAATCTGAGGTTGTTAGGTGTCGGAAAACACAGAGATAAAACTTTCTCTTGTAAGACTTTAATTTCATCAAAATTGTGTTCAAATTCCTTTTCCCATAGATCTCAGATGATGACACAAATACAAAAGTTAAGAGTCAGTCACGAGACACTCACCGCAGCTGGCTTCATCGGATGCATCTGCACAGTCTGGATCCTCATCGCAAACCCACAGCTTGGAAATGCAATGTTTGGTAGTTTTACATTGGAAATAGTCTGGAGAACAGCTGTTTTCAGCTTAAGAGGAAAACATTTATTAAAATTTAGCTTTGGTCAAGAACAGCCATTTTATTCAAAAAGCAGTTAGACAAATGTGAAAGATAGTCAACTGAAAACGTATGATGTTTTAATTAATAAAGCTCTGGAGGTGAAGAGGTTTCACTTTTAATTATAATGTATTCCTAGTATCCTTTTCAGTAGACATAAATAAAACATATGTCTGCATTGATACATTGATAAAAATCAGAGTTTTCAAAACAACTCCACCTTGATTAGATATTTTTAAAATACAGAATTCAGGGACCCTCAGAATAATTTTTTCCAGATAAATTTGAAAATTTACACTGTAGATGTTTATAAATGATAAAAGACCCAAATCAGAAGACAGAAGCAAATGAGGATATATAAAGCATAACATTTATCAAAATTTCTACTTGTGTTGAGTGTTTGAGGGAAGTGAACATCTGACTCAGACTATAAACTGCACCACAAATCCTAGTCAGTTTAATGGATCAGCTTCCAGAATGACTAACCATAAACAACTGGTAGTGACTTTATTCTGAATGCACCACCTTAATCAAATTGCTGGATAACTGCACATTACTTACTGATAAAAGTTTTAGGGGAATAAAATAAAACTTCAGCAAGACAGAAATGTTGACAGCAGTTTTGTTGAAACCCTGAAACTTAACAGGTGCTCTCAAAACGGATAAGTTCTCCATTTCTGCGATGGCAACTAAGAAATAAATTGTAAATGAAATAATTTATTTTTAGTGAAAATATTAATGTGTCATAAAGAAATGCTAACATAAGTGATCACTGTCATCTGCTAAAACAGAAAAGATGCTTTTATTATTTTTTCCTTTTTTTCACCATGTTTAAGAATGAATAATTGTTGAATGAACAAAATGCTATGCATTTAAGAAGAAAAATGAAGCCTAGAACAATGTGAAAACAGTGGTTCCTTGTTTCCACCCATTAATGCTAATGCCATGTTCTATATTCTAATATTTTTATCCTACTTTCTCGATTTGTCTTTTTAGAAATACTTTATAATTATACTAAGCATATGTGCCCTTCTGCCTTACCCTGACTCCATGCCTTTTATAAAATCGCTAATCTGAGGTTGTTAGGTGTCGGAAAACACAGAGATAAAACTTTCTCTTGTAAGACTTTAATTTCATCAAAATTGTGTTCAAATTCCTTTTCCCATAGATCTCAGATGATGACACAAATACAAAAGTTAAGAGTCAGTCACGAGACACTCACCGCAGCTGGCTTCATCGGATGCATCTGCACAGTCTGGATCCTCATCGCAAACCCACAGCTTGGAAATGCAATGTTTGGTAGTTTTACATTGGAAATAGTCTGGAGAACAGCTGTTTTCAGCTTAAGAGGAAAACATTTATTAAAATTTAGCTTTGGTCAAGAACAGCCATTTTATTCAAAAAGCAGTTAGACAAATGTGAAAGATAGTCAACTGAAAACGTATGATGTTTTAATTAATAAAGCTCTGGAGGTGAAGAGGTTTCACTTTTAATTATAATGTATTCCTAGTATCCTTTTCAGTAGACATAAATAAAACATATGTCTGCATTGATACATTGATAAAAATCAGAGTTTTCAAAACAACTCCACCTTGATTAGATATTTTTAAAATACAGAATTCAGGGACCCTCAGAATAATTTTTTCCAGATAAATTTGAAAATTTACACTGTAGATGTTTATAAATGATAAAAGACCCAAATCAGAAGACAGAAGCAAATGAGGATATATAAAGCATAACATTTATCAAAATTTCTACTTGTGTTGAGTGTTTGAGGGAAGTGAACATCTGACTCAGACTATAAACTGCACCACAAATCCTAGTCAGTTTAATGGATCAGCTTCCAGAATGACTAACCATAAACAACTGGTAGTGACTTTATTCTGAATGCACCACCTTAATCAAATTGCTGGATAACTGCACATTACTTACTGATAAAAGTTTTAGGGGAATAAAATAAAACTTCAGCAAGACAGAAATGTTGACAGCAGTTTTGTTGAAACCCTGAAACTTAACAGGTGCTCTATTGTCCAGATCATGTGTGTGTGTGTGTGTGTGTGTGTGTGTGTGTGTGTGTGTGTGTGTGTCCCTAGGTACACATATGTATATGATGTAATGATGTATTCTATTTAATGTAATTTTATTTTTGGTGGGAGTTGTAAGTAAGAGGTGAACAGAATAGAAAATAATTTACTGTTTCTTTGAAGTAGCATGTTAAGGGTTAAAGTACATTAAATAGAGCATTATTAACAGCTTTACAAAATAATTGTCAGTTTATTTTACTCAGATACTGTTTTTCATCATCATGCATTCAATATGTATTTTATGGGTCAAAAAAGCAATATCTAATTTAAATGGAGTTGATTTCAAGTAACTAATTAATCAATAGAAGAAAATTACCTGTGGCTACTTAATATGGGGAAAAATAATCAATTTATGAGGAAAAAACATAATCACCTGTAATGTTGTTTTTGCTGTTTCTCTTAAGGATGATGCAGATGAATGGATATTGTTTAAAGTTTGTCATAATCTCCAGGTAGCTTTTTAAATAAAGATCACTCATGTTTAAATTTTCTCTATATTCTGTATATAGAGCTTCTTAAATAATCCATCCCCAATAGGCTTCTATTTTGAATTATTTTCCTATAATTGCTGTTACATATTTTTCTACATTGTATGAACTCAGAGTACACAGTAATTTTTAGACCAATTTCAGAATCAGAAACAAGACAAGCCAGAACATTGTAAGGTGACTTACGACAGTCCCTTTCATCTTCCTCATCCCCACAGTCATCTTGTCCATTACATCTGAGGTTCACTGGGATACATTTCTGGTTCTTGGTACACTTGAACTGACCTGAGAGGCAGACATGTGTGTCTGAGAGAAAAAACAAAAAAAATATGTGCTGAAACCTGTGTCTGAATTTAAATCAGTGCAGACATAATGAGTTAGGCATTAGATTTATGCTCCTTAGTGAAGAATTTATCACCTACCACAGTTGAGTTCATCAGAATTGTCTCCACAGTCATTCTCTCCATCACAGATGAAAGCAGGCAGAGCACAGAGTCCAGTTCCACACTGAAATCGGCCTGGCTGACATTTAAATTCAGCTAGGGGAGAAAGCATATAGATGTTGTGGAATGACAATCTTGGCTCAAGGCTTCTTATGCAGAGCTTTGCTGATACTCAACATATTTATATCATTATATTAAATACATTCCAGAGCACAATGTGAATGTCTCCTATCTAGATAGCTATTAGATTCAAATAAACAGCTAGGCTATGAGCTACTCTAATAGCCTCCAGTCTATATTTCATAAACTAACAGCACAAAAAAAGCAATTAACAACCCATAAATGTAAAAAATACGTTTAAAACATAAATGTCTCATGGTTTTCAAGAAATGGTACTGAGAGGTTAAGTGCCAAAATACAATTTATTTTGCTTTGATCACTTTGCTGCCTGTGATGTGTAGAAGAGTGCTGCCTGTGATGTGCCCTCCATTCATATTCCCCAGCACTTCTTAAAGCAAATACTTCCTATACATATCAGCCTTTAAGTCAGGTTTATTGACAGTCATTCCTATAATACTATTACTGTATACAAGGATAATATCTTGTAAATAGTAAAGGTTTTTATATGCCACGCATATATCACTATAGCTAATAATTACCATATGATATACATTTTTTTGCTACATTCCTTGAGTTTATGTAAGAAATAACAACAGTAATAATAAAGTAGTATCTATTGAGTATTTACTCTGTGTCAGGCCATGGGCTAGGCTCTGTCACATATAGTTATGAATTTAGTCATATTAACTTTCAGCTCAGCATCACCACAGCCATTTTATAAATTAAGCAATCAAATCTCATGGATATTAATAATTTATCAAAGGATGTGCAGGTTTCAAGTCTCAGACTTGGCATTTCTTTCTATATCTGACTCTGAAGGGTTCTCACGAACTATGTTGTTTGCAATAAAACTTATTTTTTGACAGATGATCCTAATATATGTTACTAATCATTAACTTTGAGATTAATGATATGCTATTTATTAGTTCATCTAGAGAATCAACATTAATAAATTATATTTTAAACTTTCTTTGGAAAATAAATCATAATTCGATCATTATAATATTAATAATTTCCTTAACATTAAAAAAACTCTTAATACCTGCTTGACTTCCATAGAAAAGAGTTCTAAAATGCTAAAAGTCATTTATCTCCAATCTATAATATTTATTAATCAATCACATTAAATGTTTAAACTGTGTGATACCTTTCTCATGCTCTAAATATAGGCGTTTCTTCTATTTACTGCTGCTTCATATACAATTTCTTTAATATTCCTTTGCTATCAAAACCTTTCCATAAAAAGGAAGGAGTTCCAAGTGCCTGGAAAATAACTGGAGAGTCTCTCTGACTTTTCAGTGTGTCTCTAGAATGATTCTGATGTATTAGAGTATCATAGGGAATGTAATTACAAACTTATGATGCCAGAGAATTCTTGATGCACCACTTTTGCTACATTTACATACATTTATTGAAATTTGCAAGTATGTGATCTTGGGGTCAAGCTCTCCTGCCTTTTCAGGTGAAATTATAGGTATTCTCAGTGGCTCTTAGGATCTGTAAGTTTTAATGATGTAGGTGCTCAAAAATGAAAACACTCCACTGACTCAAGTATATCATTTTTCATCATACCATGACTCTCAAAATAAAATGTCATGCCTACAGATGTTCCATGCTGCTAACCCATCAACTCCAAGTAGAAGATCATTTACTAAAAGATCACAGAGATGAAGTCACCAATAGAAACATGTGTTTAATACCACCAATAAGGATCATACCAACTCTTACATACCAGATGTCTCTTTGGTTCCCCCTCGAAAGATATGAAAGTTATATTTTGCTCACCATATATTTTGAAAGTGGGTAAATATGAAAAATTCATTATACTAAATCTGTAATTAATTTTTTCTATTAGTATGGCTATGCAGGAAATTTCAGTCAAGATTAAAATTAGAGTTTGGGAACTGCAAATATTTTAGAAAGGCAAGAATTGGGTGCTATTGGCTTTGACTGTAGGTCATTATGGTGATATTTCCTGAGAGAACAATTTAGTGAATCTGGGCAAGAAAGGACATCTTAAAATGAGCACTAAATGAACACAGTCATTCTTGTTTATTTCTGTTAAGTTACAAAAATAATTTGTGTTTACTCTTTTATTTGCTGTATCATAGGAAAGTTTACTGTGGGGATATTAATAACTTGCTTTTAATGAGTAAAGCTCTATTGGTTACCAATATAATTTCTTGTTTCTGTGATATTCTTTTTAATTTAATAACTTACAAAAATAATAATTCAGGAAAAGTAGTATACCTATCTCATACAGATACTACTCTTTATATATCATCAATCAGAATAAAAAGAAAAACTATGTTAAAAAATCAAAAAGCAATGGTCTTTTCAGAAACATACAAAAATATGAGAAAAGTGATGACTTTTTTCCTTCTCATTGAATATATTACTTACCTCTTTCAATGTGAAATATCTTCAAATGTTTGATACATTTGGCAGTGACCAGAAAAATAGAATACAGCTCTCCTAAGTAACTCTCTAGAGACCCTAAGTTCGAAACAGTTTTGTAATTATGTGGTGGGAAGTTCTACAGCAGCAAGTACTTAACTTTCGCTACGACAGTCCACTGTCTGTCTTTAGTGCAAGCCTCAGGGTCCTGAACTCAACTGTCAAGGCCAACTTATGGCGAACATCCACTGAGATACTAAGGAATTATCATGATCGACTACAGGCATCTTCAACTTGACAGGATAGTATTGGAGTGACCCAAGGAGTAAACTATAAAACGCTGTGAAGGAAAAGGCTGCTGCTTGTCCATCACAACAGAAGTTCCCAAAGATAGCAGAAAAAAAAAAACACCTAACCATGTCAATCATGGTCAGACATCAAAACGTAATTGGCAGTCATTTTAAGGCAACTACTAAGGGCATATTAAATTGCCTAACAGCAAACTAATGATTTATATTGGAATTATCTGACTTGTAAAACATTTCAAGATTTTAATACTGACAGAAAAGTTGAAGGACTATATCCCTTAAAGGGACAATTTCAGTCATTGAGTGGCATTCTGAAAACTTGCCCATTTTTGCTTCTAATTTGCTGATATATTAGGTCAAAATCCTGCTGATCTACTGATCACTACATAAAAAGTGTGACTGTTATACTAGTAAGAACATTTGAGAAAAAGAAAACTAACTCAAGTTACTGATGATGTCGTTCTAAATGTCATAGTTCTCAGAGACATACCTAAGACATTACAACAACTTTCACTGTATTTTTGAAGACTAATAGAGAAAATATTCCTATTTCAACTCTGGAAGAGTTTCAGAAGGCAATGCTTAAGATATGCTTCAATTTTCCTGGCCTAGGATTTAAGGAGTTCTGAATTCTCCATTGCTACATTTGCCAAAGTACTCACGACAGTCATCAGGTTCATCAGATCCGTCGCCACAGTCATCCACAGTGTCACATTTCCACCAGAATGGAATACATTTATCAGTTTTGCAACGAAACTTTAAAAAAGAAAGAAAAAAAGGTTGAAGCATCTTACTCATATATAATAGGTACTTAAAAACTCACCAGGGCAGAGCAGCTTAGCATACTCTCTTGCTGTCAGTGTGAACCATGGTGGTCTTACAGCATTCCACAACAGTAAATAAATGCACAGCAAGCAGCAGAATGATCTGCGAGGAAAGCATGTTATTCAGGAAACCTTCTGAGATTTCCTGAGCAAAAAAAAATTTCTGCACTTACACAATGTCTGCAGCTGCTTTTGCACCACAACAGGAAAACTGAGTAGTTGCTACAGAGACCATGTGGCCATCAAAGCCTAAAATACCTGAATCGAGCTAAAAATCATCAGAAATATCAGCAACAGGTATCAAATTCAATTAATTTGGTTAAATTGAATTCATTTAACTCAATTGGATTTTCTTAGGAATCTTGGATATTTCAATTCACATCTCTGTCTCTGTTACTTAGCCATCAAATGAGGAGCTGAAGATTATCTGAAATATCTTTCCCATCGCTGTTATACTATGGAATTCCCTGAACACTAAATATATGTCCTGTAGCTATATGAATATCTGCCCCACCTAAATTTTAAGAACACTTCTTTAAAGCAGTTGAGAACAATACTGTTACCTTGAGGTTTTCGAATTCTTAATAAAGACACATGATTTTTCAGGATAAGTAAGACAAATTGTGATAATTAAAAAAGAATACAGGTGAGAAATTTGCATTGGAGAGAGTGAATTAAGGAAGGAAGACTTCAAGACTAGTGCAATAGGAGAGAGAGATGGGTCTGAACTCTGCTAAAACAAAAGGCAGGAGAGCTATTAAGCTCTGGCATAAGCTGCTGGAAAGGTGTTGGGAGATGTTGGTCAATGTGATTAGGCCATCTGAATTTGCTAGTTGGAGCTTATCAAACTTGGGCACCTACCTTCCCAGAGACTAGGAACTGGTACACTATCTTTCTTGATGGTTTCTCTCTTGATGGTTTCATTTCTAAGGGATGGCTCCCAGGTCCTTGAGAGAACATTCCTAGAGTGTAAAACTGGCAAGGGACTGGAAGAAGATTTACATCTCAAAGGAATAGAGAAAGAATGTATAATTGCAAGGTTTCTAGAGCAAATGCTCTAAGAAGGGAGAGTCTAAGGGCTTACTATCAGGAGAAAACTGTGTAACGTTTAGTCAAGCTGATAGGAATATTAAGGCCCTCATGGTCGATGACTTCTCACCCTATACCACATTTCTACAGGGCCTGGTAAAGAACAAAAAAAAAAAATCATAGGTGTGTTTAATTTAAAATTAACATTTGCATGTCCAAAAAAAAAGCAAAAAATAAGACTGCAAAAATAGATTTTTTTGGTTATATTTTTTAAGAAGAATATTTTTCAGAAGAAAACTGCTTAATAAAACTTGTTTTCAAAATTATCCAAAAAATTATTTACTAACACATTTATTAATATATTGTATTTGTTCTGTCATCCTTTCCATTTAAAATAAAGACATGGTAATAAGGAAGATGATAATTCTATTAAATATTGAAATAGAAAGTTGTTTTTTTTTCTTTTTTAACACCTCCCTTTTAAAATCAACCATTAAGTAGAAGATTAACAATAGAGAAATTAGTTGAACTTTTACATGGCAATATTACTTGTAGTTAGCATACAGGTGACTTGTTGGTAGAGAAAAATTTCACAAAGTTATCATTGCATGGTATTTTTATAAGGAAGGTGACTGAATGTAAATTCACCTCTGAGACAGACCACAGAATTACTGTTCCTTTTAAGTTCACTACTGGCCAACAGCACACAGACCAAGAAAGATGAGTCATCTTATTCTTAAATCATCTCAACTACAAACTAATCCCTTTCTTAAGAAGATTCAGTTTTAAGCTTACCCTCAAAAGAAACTAAGAAAAATCTCAATTTCCATATAGAGAGCATATGCATCTGAAGTATTTGACATTAAAAATAGTCACTTTAAATCATTGTAACCAAGCAATAGACAAAGTTTAGTAAATTTCTTCCAGCACTGTCAAAAATTTTCTTCTTTATCTTAATAGAAATTCAGTGAAAAGGATTTTTTAAACATTCATCAGAAATTGAAAACATTATTGTAATAATTGTCTAAAATTCATTAGTTTTCCTTCTGAATTGTTTCTGTTGTAATTCTCACAGGAGTGACTGGAAGCACGGTGCCATTTATCTTAGCATGTTGCATGGCAGGCAGATATGGAACATAGCAAAATATAGTTTAGGTTTAATTTTCTCTAATGGAAGTGGATTAGCAAGCTTAATTTGTTCATGTAAAATACTGTTAATTTCTTCAAGTAAGAGAATCTGATACTAGCTTTTGCTGAACCTCTCTGGATATTATGGATTTGATTCAGGGTAGGGTTTCATTATATATATATTTTTAATCAGAAGGAATTTTTTTTCAGTGGTAATATGGGAGGAAATGGAGCACAGTAAATCCAAAGAAATATCCGACTGTTCAATTGACTTTCTCTTCCCATCTTTGCTTAGCCTATGATCATGTCTATGGCGGTTTTCACAAATCGTTACAGGAAAAATATTACCTTTACAGATAGTGACTGTCTGGGGATAGAAGGCAAACTCTGAAAGCAATTGCCCTGACCATTAAACATTTGCAGGCATTACGGTATATCGAAGTACCTTAGTAAGAGTATTTCAGATCACCTGGGTACATATAAGGTCTTCCCAATCAATATTTGAAAATTATCTAAAACATATACTTTTAAATTCACTAAATATGTCTGATTTAAATAAATACAAACTGTTGGAATTATACATATGACATGATGATTTTGCTTGCCACTTCATTTTTAGTAAGAACATAAAAGGGCTTTGAGTTAAGAGAAAGTCAGGGTAAAATATACTTACTTTATTACTTTTTATGCTAATCAACATCTTATTCATTATGTTCAGAGGAAGATCTCTTCTATTTTGTGTCTGGGCTTAATTTTTTTTTCATATTTAAATATAGTAACTAAAAAGAGATTAATGCTAAATACAAATATAAAACATTCCTCATGGGAAATGTTCTCCAAAACCAATACCTTCGTAAAATAAACTGCAATTATCACCCAGAAGAAGAAGCTATTAAGAAACTACTAAATACATGTCTACTATTTGTATGGGCAAAGTCTCCACTTAAAAGATAAGTAAAACTATTTTTAAATTCACTTCTTATTTTCAATTGAATCATTTAAATTTAACATTTGAAGTGATTAGTGCTATAAGAATTGAATTTAATCTTGATTTTTACCAGATTTTCATGTTCATTTTCAATCTTACTAGAATTCTTATTGTTGTGATTTGCCTATTTTATTTTTCTTAAAATTAATACTATGAGGGTTTCATTGGTTGCAATCATTAGATGATAACAAATCAAAATCCCATAATAAGAAAAATTCAAAGTGCAACATTTTGATCAGAATGTATGATGGTGTATGATTCTGAAATATCTAGGTTATTTGTTTCATTTCAATGTCGACCTCACTAAAATTGTGTTTATATGAACTGACTTTTCAAGAAGTGACAGTAAATAGGTTTTTCCTCCCAATACATCAGAAAAAAGAATCAGAGGTAAAAATTTACATAAACCACAGGCTTTACAGGGATAACCAGTAATGACTCATGTTAGCTGTTTGTTCATTAACTTTATTTTTAATGATGAAACAAAGAAGTGATAACTTTTTTTCAGAAAGGATTGCTGAAAACAAAGATATCTGACCCATAATTGGGAATTTCTGCTCTGTTCTGTTATTGTTAAATTCTTTAAAAATAAATGCAAAATAAATACTTCACTCATGTCATCATTGATACCAAAATAGGAAATTGATTATATGAATAATACTTTTCTAAGTTGATTTAGGTATTTATTTAATAGACTATTTGTGTTGTTTTAGCACTGAATAAGACATAATTACAGGTTTTTCACATATAATAACTTGAAATGTTTTACTCCTTTTACTATTATAACAAGGTTTACATTTTACTACCCATGTCTTGCTGTTTGAGCTGTTCATCTAAGCGTTAAACATCCTCTGGCTTCACTCTACTTCTGGCTACTGAGTCTCACTACACTGTATGTGGCTTAAGCAGCCATTACCTCTACCAAGTCACCAAGGCCTCAGTGTTGGGCCTTAACAGAGTGTCTTCTGAACCACTCCAGAGGAAGAGACAAAAGATTATTTCAGAATAACCTGGAGGGTAATCTGGAAATTTGTTTAAATTAAACAACACTAACAGAAATTACAGTTTAAAAAAATTTTTAATGAGAATTTTTTCCTTAAATTTTACCTCTAAGAATAATTGAGATGCTTCTTTTACCTCTCAATGACTTAAACTTCTAGTTCTCTAAAGATAACATATGTTGTCTACACACTCAGGGGTGTACTGTTGAAACAACACACTGTAAGAAAGAGACTGTGACCTGTGCTTTCCACAAGCCATCCTAGCCTGCCGATGGCAGCTCACACCAACTGCACATGTGATCTTTAGTGTGTTCTTGTTGAGCTGAAAGGCGAGAGTATGCAGAACAACACTCCCTATGTACCGGGAACTTTCCCCATTTTATCTTTATAATGATGGCCTGGAAATATTATAATACCCATTTAAAAGATGAGAAACCTGAGGCACAGGAAATTAAGGAACAAATCCAAGGTAATCCAGCCCACTGCAAGCAGCCAGGGTTCCAGTTACAGTGCATCTGGCTTCAGAACCTGTGCCCTTAACCACTGCACACACCTGGAAGAGGCCCGATCAGTTGCATTTGTATAGTTCTTTAATGTGTGATACTCATAGTCATAACTTGAGAGGCAGGTTAGAGTATTAGCTTCTACATTTTGAAAATGAGCATTCTAAGAGAAATTCAATCTCTTGCCAACAAGTAACTGCTATAATTGAAAAACCAGCAAATTCAAAACATAAAATTCTAAGAATAAATTTACTCGTTTAAAAAAGCAAGCCATAGTTTCTTTGACAATTATATCTTAAACAAGATAGTGACTCAGATATTTTTTTTAAAAATTCAAATGTGTTAATGTCGTATGACTGTTGCCCAAAATTTGAAAATCATAAAATCGAGTCCACTGCAAGTGAGAATCATAAAAACAAGTACAATGCAAGTAGAAAATCTAACTTCTTGGGATTTCTTTATGTTTATGTTTATTTTTTTTATTTTTCACGTCTTAGGATTTCTTTATTTTTATTTTTATTTTTTTTATTTTTCACGTCTTGGGATTTCTTTAGTGAAAATAAGTATATGTTGGAAAAAAGAGGTTCCATAAGGACACTATTTAGATAATATAAATTTTTAATTAAAAAATCTATAGAGAACTATTTTTTACCCAATTCGTCTTTCCCATATCACTTGCTGTGAGGAATGGGAGAGGGAAGGTGATACAGATCAGCTTATCTAGGAAGATTTTTTGTTTGGTTAAACGATGTGCATCTTAGCCTTAACCCTATTCCTCAATCAACTTGCCTTCTTGAAATATGTCAAATCCTCTGCTAATTCTCTTACACCCACTCATGAGTTGAACCATTATTCTGTATAGCAGTATGCAAGAATAGTTTTCATTTTTAGTTTTTGTTTGCCATCTTGGCCTGAATTTGCACTTCCCAATTCCTAAGGTCCCATTTTAACAATATACCCCAATTTGCTTCTCCCTTACTCTGTAACCCACTCTGTGATCATGACCCTCTCTTTGATCTTTGACCATGGAATGATCGTCTGATGCAATGTTAAACAAAAACATTGATGTTTCAAAAATGGTTTAAGCAAATAAATAAAACCCAGGCAACACCTTTATAACAGCTTGCTTATACATCTCATGAAACGGTTTGTAGCCCTCCACTCACCTGACTGGCTGTGCAGTTGGATAAGCAGGTCCTGTTATCAGCTGCAAGATAGAAGTTGGTGGGGCATGCACAGGTGTGAGTCCTTCCAGGGGCTAAAAGGCACAGGTGACTGCAACCTCCATTATTTATTGTACAAATATGCTTAAAGACTACAGGGGAGAAAGAAATAATAAAACAGGATGTTCAGACCAATAACATAAACGGGATTAGAGAGAGGACATTTAAGCTTCGTAACTTTTATTTGACTAGAACCTTGTAATCAAGAATTCATCGAGTTTATAATATAATTTTATTTTGCTACAAATTTTACTCATTTTATATGGCATTTATTTTACCATTATATCATTCTAAGGACACACTTCCACACATGCATTTTAGTAGAAAAAATTATCTGTCAGAAAAATAAAAAGACTAAAAGCATTTTGAATGAAAACTTACATATGTTTAAAAATACAAATGTAAAATAAAACAATGGGATAATGATCTACAGTAATAATGTAGTGATTTTGTTTTCTAGGACAAATACGTGTTTTCAGTAAAATAATCAACCTTCATTCCATAAGGCCTGATACCATTCCTACCAAACAGAAGCTTAAGAAAACTTGATATATTTCTAATTTTTAAAGCCCTAGAGTTACTTAAACGTAATTCTTGTCACCCAACATTCCAGAAACTAACAATACTATGACTATTTTCTAAGTAAATTATTTCAAGAATACAGTCTCCACTTCTCCAGCTACATGTACTATTGTCATTTCAGTTTAATACGATTTCAACAAATCAGTATGTCTTTATAATGTTATTGAGATTCTAAGCATATCCTTTAATAGCAGTAGTTGATATCAACTGAATTCACTCTATATACAATTATGCTAAATAATAAAATCTAGTAACCTTTTAAAAAATTAAGTTTACACTTAACCATGAAGGAAACAAAAATGGAATGTTACTAAAGATGTTGATGCATTTATGGAAATCATGGAAAGAATAATTACCATCAGGTTGTCTATAAGAATGATACACCTGGATATCTGTGATGGCATGCCATGAGTTAATCAGTGATTGTCTGTCTGCTCCCGAGGTTTTATGGGCACGGCTGAGTGACTTGGTTTTCCCATCAGTCCAGTAGATGTAGTCTTCAAACAATGTTAGTGCAATCACCCCTGGAATATCTTGATTAGGGACTGTAATAGGAGATGGTAAGATTAATGTTCAGTCTTGGAAGACTGCCAGTTAAAATATTCAATACTACATGGGCTGACAGATACAACTGCTACAGAACTTCATGTGAATAATTGCTGTGACAACCTGTCAGGCCAGCAAGGTTCTTTATTACCAGTAAGGAGAATACAGGATCTGGCACAAGAGCTTACTTTGCTGAGATTTAGCTTGGTTCAACCACTGGGAAGAAAATGAATGCAATTCTGCTCACAAGTAATGTCTGCTTTACCAGAAACAAATAACATCCAACATTTAAAAATTATATATATATACATATAATTTATATATGTGTGTGTATATATATATATACACATACAAATAGCGATCCAGTTCTTCCTATCCTAAATCCTTAAATCTATGGGTCATTTGCTGCTTTCTCCTATTTTTAAATTATATATCCAAGATGAAATGTGTATCTACAGGGAAATAAATTGACTATAAGACTACTATAAACCATTTTAGTCACTAAGATTTTATGACTATTTTTATGTGCGAGATGAGCTGGAATAGGGATGGGGGAAATAGGTATGACAGATACTAATATATTAGGCAGATTTAACAGTCATAAGCTGTTTAGTTGAAGATGAGAATTGTTTTATAATTATGCCTTTATTATAGGACTGGGTATAGATGCAAGTAGTAGACTGAGCATCACAAATGTGATTTTTTTCATTCAAGAGATTCCAGGGTCCTAACATGAACATAAGATTTATTTAAATTTATTTGGTGATTTGGGGTGTAAATAATTTTAAGCCATGATAGAATTTTCTTCAAAAAATATTTTCAAAAGCATTAAAGAAAATGAAATGCTTTAATTTGCACAAACATTCCAAATGTGTCTTTGTATTAACTTTAAGATCTACTTTTAGAAGTTCTAAGAAAACAGTCATTAATGAAAAAAGGTACTATAAGCCCAGTAACACGTACTTTTATAAATTAGATTTTAATGACTGAGAATTAATGCTTAGCATATTCCTCAATCAACAGTAACTGAAAAACAATCAAAATTTCAAATACAACTCTTTCTAGGGAGGTTTACAACATTTTTTTTAAAATGCTGGTTAAATTTATATTGTTAACTAGAAGTAGACATCTGAAATCTTCTGATTTGTTATTCTTATTCAGATGGACCACAGTGATCAGATAATTCACAGTGACTCAGAGAAAGCAGAAATAAAAGAAATAACATGCAATTCTTCCAAACAGGTGACACCTTAAGCCAGTGACTACCAATGTGGGGTTTAGTCAGAAATCCATCTCAGAACAGAGACTATGCACATGAAGGATGTAAAAACCAAGAAAAATTCAGATGTGCACCCTTTTGATGCAAGTACTCAAATTGCATTATCTGTTTATTCCCATAGACATGGAGCCTATCATCAAAATGGTAAGTTGAATTGGAAAAAAAAAAAGATGAAAAGGACACTTTACCAGAATGAATCATGTCTGAGTTATTTATACAACTTATTAACTTATTCCCACTTTCCCCCTTTGGCTGTATAAATTCATTCTAGAAAGATAAAATAAATGTGACAAAATGTTAACTGGATGAATCTTGGTAGTAGGAGATTATAACAATCTTTTGGCATATGTGTATGTTTAGAAACTCGCAAAATAAAATAAAAATTTGTAGAAAAAGTTGAAAGTCCCAGAAACATTCAATTCAGATTTCCTTAGATGCAAGGGAATTAATTACATTATTAAGTATGGATTCAAAAAGTTAAGCATTACTTTAAAAAATTTCCATCTACTAGAGAATCAATTAACTTCTATCCATAAGGGAAAGTTATTATAAGAATTTTCCTATTGGCCTCTTAGAAGTAGAATAGTCTTCTTAACTATTCAGTAAGTAACTAGCTGACCTCTGTGAAACATTTTGGTACTAGGTTGCTGGCCAGTGGTTGTCAATGGGTCAGGGAGGCAGTTCTGGCCCCACAACAAATAATCATCAGGTCCAAATATCAGTAGTTCTGAGATTAAGAAACCTTGGACTAAAATAACCACTTCATACACCTTATTTCATTTAACATTCACAACATCTCTGTTTGTGCAGTGGTAGATCTGACTTTGCAGACGAGAAAGCTAAGATCTGGAAAACTGAAATAATGTGACCAAAGAGGGTAGGAAAAAAACTAGTAAAGAAAGTACTAGTATTTGAATCTAAACTGGGTTCTCTGGCTACTGAATTCTTTGCCACTTTACCTACTAGACTGCCTTTAAGAGAGTCAGCCTAGCAGGGTAAAGTATTGTCACAGACTGAAGTGTCCTGTCTGCTACCCGCAGTTGAAGCTTAACTCCCTGCATGACTGTATCTGGGGAAAGACCTTCAATGAAGCAACCAAGTTTAATAAAGTCCTAAGAGTGGGGCTCTAATCAATATGACTAGTGCCCTCATATGGAAAGAGAGAGTGAGCAGGGGCATGCACATGTGGAAAAAGGGCCACATTGGAAGAGCAAAAAGATACCCATTGCTACAAGCCAAAGAGAGAGGTCTCAGGAGATACCAAATATGCCACCACCTTGATCTTGGGCTTCCAGGTTCTAAAATGTGAGAAAATAAATTTCTGTTGTTTAAGCCTCCCATTTCATGGTTCTTTTTTATGGCAGCCTTAGCAAACTAACACAAGTATATGAAATAACAGGACTAATTTCATAAGTTCTATGTGAAAATCCATTTATTTAATTACTTGATTGAAATTACATTGTGTATGATTTTTGGACATAGAACAATCTAAGTAGTGGACACTTTTGCTCCCTCTAAGCTTGTAATAATTAGCTACTATAAATCCTCTTTATCAGCTAATCCATATAAATTTATGCATATCAGAAAAGTGAACGCATTTCAGGAGGATCACACATAGCTGAATGTACACAGAATGCAGAACAGTCAGGTAAAAGGAGGACTATTAGTCCATCTGTCCAAAGTGACCATCTGTTTAATTTAATTCCTTGTTTGGTGTTGGCCTTGAAGAACAAGATTGTCACTAGTAACTTTATAAGCCCCCTCCAGGCCTGCTCATTTGGCAAATATGCTTATTTCCCAAACAGCCTTACACACAACCACCAGAGTATTCCTTCTAGAGAAAACAAAGTAAAAATACTAACTTATGTTAACATGGGAAAATCTAGTCCCATATACCTAACACTACATTAGTTCCAACAAACTGTTCTCTAAGAGGTGGTAACAAGTTCTGTTTATACCACAAATGCCATAAAAAATCAAGTGAAACAAATAAAATAAAACAAACAAGTTCTTTGCATATTGACTCTTCAGGAGTTCAGCTCATAACTTGGCAGTATGCCTCACTTCCTCTTTAGGACCTAAATGTCTTCAACAAGATTTATTTGACTATTGGCTTAAGCTTCTGTGAAAACATTGCCATATATTTATGACTAGATGATAAGTATAAAGAAATGAATGCTATGTTTGCTTTTCCATCAACATATAAGAAGTTCAGCCCACATTGAATTAAATGACATGTTCTGAGCCAGAGCATCATTTTATTTCCCTGATCCAGAGTGAGAAAAATAAAATTGCTTATTCTGGTTGTCTATATATTTACCTATTTTCTATATAGATATGTAGGTATAGAGTTACATGCATTTATGTATTATGTATGTATATATCTTATAATATATTTGTTACATACATAATTATATATATGTATGTAAATATAAACATGGAATGTGATGGTATGAGAAACATTTAACATACTCTTACAAATACTGAGATATGGTTGAGTTTATGGAAAAAGTAGTCAATGTTTTCTCAAAATGATAACAGCTACCGTTTTTAAGAAAGAATAATATAACCAGTTCTCATACTTAAGACTGCATTTGTTCAATTAAGAGGGAAAGACAAAGTTAAGGAATTTTTCATTAATAAGTATTCACTAGACACATGCAAAAAAGAAGACAGAAGAAAGAGAACTATTGTGTGGGCTGTAGTTTTACAAGTACTTATTATATATTTAAAGCCTATTTTAAAACTGCTGTCTGTAGTTAAGTCTCTATTCTGTACAATGGCTTTATTTATTGCACTGTTTCCAGAATTCCACTCAAGCACTAGGTTTCTAATTATTATTTCATAGATTATATCTATCAGAAGAAAGAAGTCCATATTTGGCAAAAAATACATCAAATAAATGCTGCTTTGTGAAGTTTTTCCCTTGCAGTCAAGTTGGATGCTATCCTAAATTTCCTAGTAATTATGATAAACAGCAAAGGTGGCAATCCAGAATCCAGAATATGCTTTTGGCTTAACTCTTGCCTCACAGCTGGAGATATTCTATCACCATACTCTTGATCATTCATGTTTCTGAGTGAACTTATCATGCGAACAAATACATTACTAATATCATTCTAGTTTTATATTTTAGACTAATCAAGTTCAAATACTTGGGAACAAAATGTGTCAATAATGCAGCCCTCAGTTCTTGTTGAGTTACAGTCTTATCGCTGGTGTTATGGCAGGATATGCACTGGGATGGTAGATTCCGCATGGCTTTGCCCAGTGGGCTAGTACATAAAATAGAAAATTCACTAGTGATGCTCTATTCTTTTCTTCTTATTTCTCCTCCAATATTTACTTTAATAATCTAAATGTTATTTTTTAAAAATTACATTAGATGCAGCAATCCCTGATTTATTATTTAAAAGTTACTGTAATTACTTCAGCAATATTTTCAAAAGTAAAACAAAGTTCATAGAATGCAACTACCAAATTCAGTAACTATTTTTATGAAGGAATCAAGATTCCCTAATAAGGATTTTATTTTTTTGAGTTATAAAGAATTTATGCATTGTTTGGAAGAAAATGCCTGAAATGATCCATTAAGGTTAAACTTCCCCTATGACTGATTTGGTTTGGAAATTTAATGTCCTAAAACTTTAAAGTTAACAAGCATACAAAACAAAACATTAAATCCTAACTTTATTTTTATATATACATATATAGTCTTAC